CCGCCGCCCGCGCCCCGGCCCGGCGTCCTGCAGCCCCCGGGCTCCGGTTCCCGGACGGGCGCGCACCTCGGCACCTCCACCCCAGCGCCCTCCAGCAAGGACCTCAAGTTCGGCATCGACCGCATCTTGTCGGCGGAATTCGACCCCAAAGTGAAGGAAGGCAACACTCTGAGAGGTAGGTCTAGGTCCCGGCCGCTTTTGAGGCCTCGAAAAGGAGGTCCCGACCCATCTCTGGCCACAGGCTGCCCCGGGGAGCTTTCGGTGTTTCCACAATTAAGGACAAAAGGAGAAGGAAAGGAGCTGTGAGAAAAACGCCAGGTTTAGAATTTGCCAGCTTTGTGTTATTAAAAAAAAAAAGTTCTAGGGGTGTTCGTGAAAATGGGAACAAAAATGACAACCAGTCCTCATTTTCTGAATATCACAGAGACGGAATTATGCTTTTGCAACAGGAAAGCCCTGCGAGGAGAGACTTTTCTATTTATCCAATTCTGGCAGAAGCTACACAAGCTAAAATCCAGTTGGGTGTGAGGGAGGTGGGGGGCTGCGGATGCCCTAGAACCCCGAGAGTAGCATCCGGGGGGCTGCCTTTACGAGTAGTGGACCCGAAGGTCACAGAGCACTTTTGTGTTCTGCGGGGAGGTTTTGGAGGGCAGGCTTTGTTTTCCTGGGGTCTCTCGACCTCGCTGCAGTGAACTCCAAGGGAAGGTGAGGCAGGAACTCAGGGCCAAGCACGCGTGCCCCGTGACCGTGATGCCCTCTTCTTCTGCAGACCTCACGTCTCTGCTGGCCGGGGGGCGGCCAGCTGCCATGCACCTCTCCGGGCTGCAGCCCTCCGCCAGCCAGTTCTTCGCATCCCTGGAACCCATGAACGAGGCCTCAGCCATCCTCAGCCCCTTAAGTTCCAACCCAAGGAATTCAGTTCAGCATCAATTCCAAGACACGTTTCCAGGTACGGAGAACCCTACAGCCGGCTGGGCGGGAGAAGTGACTGAGAAATCTCAGGGCCGACGCCTGCCTGTGGCTGCCTCAGTGACGCAATCTCATAGCTGGGCCTGGAGAGTTTGAGGTCAGAGAGATAGAAACCGAAAGACTTCAGTACGGCCACTGGTTTTTAGGGGCCTGGGTGGGGACAGTGAGAGGGATCAGGATCGGGGACCAGCACAGTGACAGTGTGTGCACTGGGAGTGTGGAAGACGAGGTGCTTATCCAAGTTATTACACTAGAAAGGATGATTTTAAAATGGGCATTAAAGACATCTCTCCTTGACACACGATAACTACAAACATTTGGGTGGCGACTGTGATCAGCAGGCAGACCCGCTGATTGTGCGCATTGAGCACCAGTTGAAGTGCGGCCTCCGCAGGCCTGGGGATCCTAGTGGGGCCATCAGTGTGCACACAGGATCAGCACACGGTGCCTGCGGCCTGGTACTGACAGGAGTCCCTATTCCCTGCACCTGGCCCATGCAGGTCCTTACGCTGTGCTCACCAAGGACACCATGCCACAAACGTACAAGAGAAAACGCTCCTGGTCGCGCGCGGTCTTTTCTAACCTGCAGCGGAAGGGCCTGGAGAAAAGGTTTGAGATCCAGAAGTACGTGACCAAGCCGGACCGAAAGCAGCTGGCTGCAATGCTGGGCCTCACAGATGCACAGGTGGGTGCCCTGTCCCCCGCAAGACCCAACCGCTCCCGGCCCACAGAGAGGTCTGGAAGGGCGAGGGTGGCTTGGGCCTGAGATGGGTGGTGAGGAGAGGAGATCATCAGGCCTCTCCAGAGCTGCCAAAGGCCTCTGTGTTTACTTTGGCCCTGGGCTGAGCACCCCGAGAGCCAGCACTTAGGCCTTGGAGATGCTAATTGCGGACTCAGCAGGAGCAGCTCCCTGGAGCAGGCAGTTTACTCCAGCTTAGATAAAGATCCGCGGGGTAGAGATTGTAGTTTTTTTTTTTTCTGCCACCCTTCTTCCCCTCCTTCTTGCTGCTGCTTTGGGATTGTGAAATCCCCGCTCAGAGGAAGTGAAAATATCTTTCAAAAAAATGACTTAGCTCCAGTAGGGCAAGGAGTCTGCTTGGAGTAGCCGATGCCACAGTCTGAGTCCTAAGGGCTCAATGGGAAGAAAGTCTCATGGTGCTAGTGGAGGGGATTTGAAGAGAAAGTGGATTTTCCTAGACCACTGGAGAGCGTTTCAGCAAGGCAAGTTCGGCCTGCTTGATTTTTTCCCTCCAAGACAATAGAAAATCTGTTGCATCTGCCTGGACTCTTTTCCTTAGATTTAAGAACCAGGCTTCTTTTCCTTTTCTCTATTTTGTTTGAGTTTTGACAACAGCAGAGCCACCTTATTCTCCCCTGAGACCCTGTGACCCCCAACAGTGGCCCTCAGTGCCCTGACGGTGCCCAGCAGGGTGGAGCCAAAGGCAGGCCTCGGTCTGGGCCTCTGACTGGGTCCCTGGGCCTTCATTACACTGGCTGGCCACGCTGTGCCTTCCCACCAGCTGGGGATGTTATTTTTAAAAGAGAGACTGGAGCCTGTGCAGACGTGTCGCTCCCCCGGGGACCTTATATATTTATATGAATCCTCTGCTCCATCGTTCTTCTCTTCCTTCCCTTTGCACATGTGTAAATCCAGCATTTTCTGAGACCCCTGAGAACGAGCTTACGCCTGGAGGGGAGCAGGCTCCTCGTTAACTCCCGGGAAACCAGGCCAGGAACAGCTCGCCAAAGAGGATCGTGGCCACCACTCCTTCTAGGGTTAACTCCCCAGGTCCCCTTTCCCCTTTCTGCCTCTCAGTTTCCTCCTTCGCTTGCTCCTCACTTTCTCTGGGCAGTGGCAGTGGAGGACAAGGCCAGGCTTGGGATTGTGTGTGCTTTTGTGGTTCTGAAGTCCCTAACTTGGAGTTTTGAGAGGTCCCTGACCTCAGTGAGGTGGGAAGCTTGGCTTCCACTGCGCACTGGGGTGAGCCCAACGTTGGCCCTGGTGTCAGCAGGCTGCTCCTGTCCTTGAAGCTCCAAAAGATCCGCTGTAGTCACTGGCTTCTGCCCAGAGCTCAGGCAGCTGAGGGGCACATTTGGAGAAGGCACCCCAGGGGCTCTTGGCTTCCTTCCCCTTCCAGCCCCTGGCCAACCGTGCCTTGCTCAGTGTTGCCTGACTTTCTTTAGTGGCATAGGGAACAGTCCCAGGGCTCCGGCTGACCTTTAGCTGCAGGGGCAGCTAGACAGGATGTGCATGAAGCTGGACTACTGCTCACCTCCTGTCCCTTCCCGTCCCTGCACTGCTCAGGTGAAAGTGTGGTTCCAGAACCGGCGTATGAAGTGGCGGCACTCCAAGGAGGCCCAGGCACAGAAGGACAAGGACAAGGAGGCCGGGGAGAAACCTTCAGGGGCAGCCCCTGGCGAGGGTGATCAGGAAGAGCAGTGCCCCAGCCGCTCCGAGGGTGAGCCAGAGAGTGAGACCAGTGACTCCGAGTCCCTGGACATGGCCCCTAGCGACACAGAGCGGACTGACGGGGCCGAACCTCCTCTGCATTCAACCACAGTCATCAAGCCCTCAGCTGCTGCTGCCCTGGTCACAGCTGGTGGCAGCAGTGGTGGTGGCTGCACTTTTGGCTTCAGCAGCCCAGGCGGCATTGGGGGCTCCAGCGTCAGCACCGGCATGGGCAGCAGCACCACGGAGCTGCTTCCCGAGCCCCAGTCTGCTGGAGGTGGCGGCGGTGCTCCCCAAAGTCCTGCACCCAGCCAGGCCCCACTGGCAGGCGGCTTGTAGACTGCTGAGGACAGAGGGCCCCCAGCCCTGAGGGCAGCTGCCGGCAGCAACTGGGCTCCCTATGGGCTTTGCTTTGGCGGGACCGAGGCGGTGGAGATGCGGAAGAGCGCTGGCTCCTTCTCCACTGCTGGACCTGCAGCTGCTCCTGCCCTGGACACCGAAGCCCACCCTGGAAGTGTCGGACTGAGCCTCCTTCTTGAACCTAGTGAGGGTTGTGGCAGAAAGACGCCGTGCGTGGCAAGCCAGAAACTGTAAATAAAATGTTTACTATGGTTTGTAAAAGGCCCGTGGCTTCCTGGGGAGGCCAGGAGGTGAAGGACTAGGATCTCCCACCCAGGATATATAACCTGGCCTGCCCTGCAGCAGCAGCTCTGGTGGGACAGAGGCATAGGAGAGTGTTTTGCTCAGGGCGGCAGTCCTGCAGAGTGCTCAGAGCTCATTTCACAGGATGCAGAGGGTGGTGGCCTGAGCCAGCACTGAGGTGGGTCCTGCGCGTGGCCGAGAGGTGCAGCCAGGGTCCATAGGTATCTCTTTGGACTGAGGCTGAGACAGAGTTGGAGTATGTGGTATTGGTGTCGGACAGAGACATCCCAGGTTTCCGATCAACCCCTATTGGAGTCCTGGGACTCTCTCCCTGGCCGGGCGCTGGGGCACAGACCGGTCTGCAGTGTCCTAATCATTGGGCAGCAGTTGTCTAAATAGCTGCACAGCAAGCAGGTGACTTGCTCACGGTGCGCAGAAGCAGGGCCCACGCCAGCGCCCGGCCTCCAGGCCTTTGTGGGCAGAGTGAAGCTGTGAAACTGCACTTCATCCCGCCCAACCCGCCTTGCAGAAAGTTCCTGTGGAATCCAAGCTGGAGCTGCAACTAGCACCCCTCTGCTCCACGCCACTGCTGCTGGGAGGGAGGAGCCCGTGGGAATGGGCTTGGAAGCTTTGCTTGTTTCTGAGGCTTGCGGGCCACACCTCTTCCCAAGACCTGCTGCCCTTTCAAGGACCATGTGTCTTCAGGTGGTAAATACTCTGCTGAGATTTTGAAACAAAAAAACCCGTCTCCAACGTGTTTGGTCCCCAGCAGGCGGAGGACTCCAGTCCTCGGCCACACCTGGCTCAGCCCTTCTGTGGGGCTGTCGGTTGCATTTTCTTTCACACTTTTGCTCCGGACCCCACTGCAGCCTGGTCTGTGGAGGAGAAAAGACCACATGTGGAGCCGCTGTGCTCTGGCTAGGCCACTCCCAGCCTGGCTTAGCCTCTGGAGGAGAGTGTAGGGGGAGTGGAGAGTGTCCTGCTGTCCAGCAGAAAGCGATGGCGAGCACTCCACTAAATGAGGACTTGAGGGGGCTGTTGCTCCCTAGCTGTTCCCATGAGAATCTGGGGAGGGTGGCTCCCCCACCTGTGTGGGCTCAGGCAGGCTGGGATCCTTCTTCCAGGCCACTATAAGCTTTGATGTCCCAACTGCTACATTCTCTGTGCCTCAAGTTTTGCCTATCACTCATATTAATTTCCTGTGTTCCCCAAATACTTGAAATTCTGAACCCAGGGAGTCCCAAGAGTGCTGAGGCACTGAAGACCCATTTGGGAGTTGGGTCCCCAGCAGGCATATTTCTAGACGGATCAGTGGAGGGTGTCGCGCTGCCCAGGCTAGGCCACGAGGGGCTTGTGTGGGCCAAGTACACCACTTCCAGGGACCTGGGCTGCCTCAGGGGCGGCTTCTTGCAGGCTGTCTTGACTGGCAAGGGCCCCTGCTTCCCTTGTAGGAGTTAGACAGGCCCTGTCACTCTGCCAGGCAGGGAGTGGGCCTGGACTCCCAGGGAATGAAGCGTCGGGCCGCACCCTGCCAGAGGCTATGTACGCAGGCTTCTGGTTCTCCATAGAACTAAGCAAAGCCTGAGGCTCCTGCCACTGCCAGCTGGTGCCTGGGGCTCCAGTCTCTGAATTTCCCAGCGTTACCAGGCCTCAGGGTTGCCCTCCGTAGGGTTGCTTCCTGTTGTGTGGGGAGGGGCTGGGATGGGGGCTCCCGGTGCCTCAGTGTGTCAGTCACTGTTCTGTCCTCACCAAGGCCAAGTCCAGTAGGCTTCAAGGACATCGTGGCCATGTCCTGCCTTTCAGGGAGCCTGGCCCTCGGGTGCCCGCTAAAGAGACCAATGTCTCGCTGTCCAGCACCCACACCCTCTGGGGGTCATCACAGATCCCTTGAATGTACTCCCCACTGCAGCTGGGACAAAAAGAAGCCCAGCAACACTGGGATGGCTCCTTTGGCTCTTTGCCCTGCCTAAGTCTGGAGCAATGCTGGTGTGACCAGGCTCGGGTGGAGCAAACAGCAGGGGACCTGGGGGTCCTTTCCAGGCCTCCTCCTTGAGGCATATGAGGCCAGAGTGAACCCAGACGGAGCCAGGTTGAACCAGTGAACCCATACAAAGCTGGCCTGCCACAGGGGGGGATTCCTGCAGTTCTTTAGACTCTTGCTTCAATCTGCAGGAACCTCAGAACTGTAAACCTCTCCAGAGGGTGCCTTGCCTGCCTGCAAACCAGCATTAAGCAGCCCCCTGGTTGGTGGGTGGGCAGAGAGGGGCTGGAGCAGGAAAGGGGGAATCAGGTGGGTGCTGAGGGCTTTCCTCCCTCCTCTCTCTGGCTCTGTCCTGCTCTAGGATGGAAAGACTGCCTTGGGGACTGCAAGCTCAGTCCTACCCCAAATCCTGTGGGATGTGGGGGTACTGCAATGAAGTGGCCAAGAGGACCCTAACCTGCAGGACTCAGTTTCCCTTCTTCAGCCTCTGGACTGGGTGGGGGTAGGGATTTTGCCCAGGTCTCTGAAGACCGGGAGTTGGGTTTCAAGGAAGACTGAGTTGCGGGGGTGGAAGCTGATTGAGCACTGGATGCTCTGGGCCTCAGCTTTCCTGTGACAAGATCTACTCGCCTCTGCTGGCTGCCAGTACAGCTCTAGCTCCACAGAATCCACACTGCTGAAGGTGGGGTAGCCCCCTTAGGTAACCCAAACTACTTCTAATGGAGACCCCCTCCCCCAACTTCTAGGCTGTGCCCCTCTGCTGTTGCTCCTCAGGGCAGTTTCCCTCACTGGAGGAAGGAGACACCCCTCCAGCCTGCAGCCCAGGGGCGCTTGCGCAGGATCCCCAGAGAGCAAGCGCCTCCTTTCGGACACATCTGTGAGTCGGATGCTGATCAAGATTGTACAAACATAGGTTTTTTGTTAGAAAAGCACAAGATGCTCATCCTTGGTGGGTGTCCCGGGTGAAGCCCCTCAAGGAGCCACAGGCCTGGATCCCCTGGCTCACATGCTGCCACCAGCTTGCACTTTGGTCATTGGTCTGGTGCACCCTGCTTTCAGGATGTGGCGCAGGCCGAGGGCTTTCAGCTTTTTTTTTTTTTCCCCCTGGGATCGAACTCAAGACTTCACACTTGCCAGGCAGGCACTGCACCACTGACCTGTGTCCCCAGCCTCTGCTGCTGGGATTCTGGGATGGAGCCTCTGTGCTGCTCCCTTCACCTCAGATTTTGCACCATCCACTGCCCTGAGAGGAAGAGCAGAGCACAGCCACCTGGATTGCGACTGGGGAGGGTGGTGAGAGCCTGCGCGCTTGGGAAAAAGCTGAGGGACGCCACCCAGCCTTCAGCTGCTGGCCTTGGCCCCCAGGAATCAGTCTCTCCTCAAGGCTGACTGCATGACCAGGGAGACCCACGGAGTCGTTTGCTTCCCTTTCCTCTACTGCGCAGCAGAATAGAATGAAAAGTGCCTGGCTCAGACGTTGCTGTGCGTTTGGATGCGCAGCAAGCCAGGTTGTAGCCCCATCCGCTTCTCAGGGCGCCTCGGATCCTCACAGGAGGTCCTTGTCAGCGTGCAAGGGGGGAGGGGAGCAGTGCGGTCCTTGCTGTCCACGAAATTGAAGCTTGAAGCCTGGGTGACGTCCCCAGCTGCTGAGCACAGCCCTCTGCACTCCAAGCCCTTCAGGGAGAGGCCAGGGCTGGGCGCAGCTGCCGCCAGGTTGGCCCGGTGTCCCTGCAGCGCTGCCGGCCACCTCCTCAGAACACCGCAGACCTCAGGCTTGTGGAGCTGGGAATTGCCCTCATGAGATGGGATAGAAGTGGAGCTTTCTGATGCTTAGGGTCAGAAGGATGCTTAGACAGTCTTTGGGATGGGGGGGCTGGGAATTACGCGTCTTCTGTTGAAACTCTGGTACAAATACTGCTTCTGCGATTGAGGGTCTTAACACCAGTGGAGGAGGGGCCTTCAGAAAGGGAAATGGGAAACTCGGAGACGTTCAGTTTTGTTTTGTTTTCTAGGTTCTGGGGATGAACTGCCAAGCCACTTAGGCAAGAACTGCCTTGCGCCCGCAACCCCACCCTCACCTAGACAGGGCTGGAGTCCAACCCACCGACCTGTATCCCAAACCCTTTGTACTTTTTAAAATTTTGAGACAGCATCTGGCTAAGTGGATAAACTGCCCGGCTGGACAAGGACTTGGGATCCCTGCCTCGGCCTTCCGGGCGCGGCTCCAGCTTCGGATCCAAAGAGCCGGGCTCTGCTCCAAAGGAAGCCACTCTAGCACCTAGCACAGCTTTGCTGAAGAAACGAATAAAGTCATCGAGGCGGCTTTTGTGCCTGTTTATGGTGTCCGTGTGTCCTGGCAGGTCCTCAGCCCCAGAGGAAGCGAGCAGCGCGGAGCTGCAGCAGGGTGGCGGGAAGTGGGCTTGCAGCAGCCCAAGTCAAGAGCTCGGCAGGACTGGACGGGGCCAGGAGCAGCGGCGGCACGCAGGGCCATGGCTGGCTGGCATCGGGGCTCCCCTCGGAGCAGAGCGCAGCCTGGCAGAGTCCTCTGGCTCTCCCGGGGTCACTTCCTAAGGTCAAAGGAGCAGGGCCCAAGCCCACTTCTGTCCGCGTGTTGGTCCTAGTGACGTTGGTCGCGCTGAGCGCTGAGATGGCGACGCGGAGCAATCGGTGCTGCAGCGAGAACGCGATCAGGGCCAGGGCCCCGCAGCCCCACGTCTCTGCTCAATTCGGCTGCCTCCCGGTCTGCGGTCTGTGCACTCCAGCGGCTGCACCCGGCCTTGCAGAGCTGTGTTTTTGTTTCTCAGAATCCGGGTAAATCCTGTACCGACCGGGTCTCAGCTGCAGGGGCGCTCCGTGAACTGGAAGGATCGGTGCACCAGGGAGTGAAGAACCAGCACGGAGCAGTGGGTCCCAGGACGCGGAGGCCCAAAGCCCCCAACTCCCCAGCGGGCCGGCCGAACCCGCGGTGGCGGCTGCGCGACCATCTCGCTCGGAAGCCTTCGTGCACCTCAGGGTCGCCTGCTAGAGAGTCCCCGGCCTCCGCTATCTCCTCTCAATGCGCCGACACAGCTGAGCAAACCAAGCAACCAAGCTACTGCCTTCGGGCCTCGACTTCCCCGTGACCCTGAGGCCAGCGCCAAGTGGGCAGGAGCGGGCAGGCCGCCTGGGTCACTGGGATGGAAGTCAGGCCTCATCTGCCTGCGCTCTTGCAGGGCCCCGCCGCGGCTGCCCGCTCCTTTCCCAAGCTCAAAGCACAGTTTCAGGGCTGAAAAAGTGGGGTAAGACTCTCTAAAGGGAAGAGTGGAACCAAAGACCTCTGCTGTGCACACAACCCCGAAACTGAGCCTACTCCATGCTTCCTCCTTCCAGCCTCCTCCTGCTTTGACTCACTCCAGGCTTGGCTTTCACAGCCTCCTGTCTTTGTTCTAGGCCTTTTTTTCTCCGTTTCCAGTGCCTTCCTCCCTGGAGTTGTTCAGGGATTTGAGGTGCTGTCTCTCATTCCTGCCTGCTGAATCCTGGGGTGACCTCTGCTGGGGAGGTGGATCAGGCTGTGACCCTTGGGGAGGGGAGAGTGCAGAGGTGGCCAGCACCCTCCAGAGGTGAGGGGACAGCTGAGGAATCGACCTCTAAGGAAAGACAGCATTAAACAATGACTGTAAAACGAATGGGTCTGCATAGTTTTAAAAAAGGAATAAAAAAGACCCGAAAATGATTTATCCTTCCCAGAGGCCAGGAGGGATGGGCCTGTGACAGTGCATCACATGATGAGCAGGGTGTGTCCGGGGCTCTAGGTGGGAACTCAGCACCTTGCTGGAGGGGTCACCAGCACAGGTGTCCCCTCAGCCAGAAGCTCAGCAAAGGGAGACTTGGCCTCCTCTCCTCGCCCTCCCTGGAGCTGCCTCTCAGCTCCCCGGGCAGCTCCAGCTGTCCCTGTCTCCTCTGGAGAGGCACTCTCTCTCTCTCTCTCTCTCTCTCTCTCTCTCTCTCTCTCTCTCTCTCTGTCTCTCTGTCTCTCTCGCTCACTCTTGCTCTCGCTCTCATACACACACCTTACACACACGCTGTTTTTAGAGACGAGATCTCCTTATGCAGCTCAGGCCAGCCTTGGATCCCCAGAATCTTTTTGCCTCAGCCTCCCAAATTGCAGGTGTGTGTCACCATGCCTGGCCTAGCTTTTCCCATTCTTGAAGTAGGAAATGAATGTCTTTCTGAGTGCCACCTAACTGTCACTGAGCACAGGGCGGAGGGCGCATGCCTCCTCTCAGACACCATCTGAGAAGCAGAGGGTCTGGGCAGCTCCTTCCAGGCACCCTGCTGGGCAGGGCAGGGCAGGGCAGGGTTGACTTAAGAGTGCTCTGCTCCTGGGCTTTGCGCTTTGATAATTCTCTCTTCAGTATAGGAAAAGTTCACAGACAAACTCTCTGTGTATGTGTGTGATTGGGTGGGGGAAATATTCTGATTATTATTTTAAATATTCATCTTGCAAAGTCAGTTTTGACAAAACAGGTTTTAGCTTTTATTTTTCCACTGCAGGGGTCAAACCCAGGACCTTTGTACTG